TCATATTATTATTAGGTCAGTTTCGTGATTTCTTTTTCATTGTTATATTCATAACTTCTGATAAGATATTTGTGCATCTTTGCAGGCAATGGCTGCAGAGAAATTTAAACTTTGTGTTAATGCTTACAAATCTCTGTGCAATGCACTATCCCCAGCGTAGCTGCGTAAGCCGTTGGCTCATAAGGTTCTGGTTTGAACATTAACAGCTCCCTCTGTACCGTTTCTCTATTCAAAAGGAAATCCTCATACAGATTTGTGTTAGAGTTTTAGGATCTTAGAATATGATTTGGAGAGAAGAGAGAAGAGAGAAGAGAGATGAAATCCAAGACTGCTTTGCTATACGTGTAGCAGAGAGAACATTCTCATTTCTCAGTGTTCAGTACAATATCTCACACTCTTGGTGTGAGAAGAATATAGTCGTTAGCATAGTACCAGCTGGATGCAATTCATCTATGCAATCTCAGCCATTCACTATCTAACCAATCAAGCTATGACACCTGGACTAAGTATAAAGAAATACAACTAAGCTGAAAACAAAACTCCTAATCCTGAAATCAACTTAAGCACTTATAATTCAACACTCCCCTTTAAGTCTTGAGGTGATTTCACTCCAAGCATGCCTCTGAGATAATTGAATCTGTCTTTGGCCAGAGGTTTGGTAAAAATGTCAGCCAATTGTTCATTTGTAGGACAGTATTCCAAATTGATTACTCCTTCTTGCAATGCATCCTTGATGAAGTGATACCTCCTGTCAATATGCTTTGTCTTCTGGTGGAATACAGGGTTTTTAGTGATTGCAATTGCTGATATATTATCACAATGCAATGGAGTAGCTTCAGTTTGAAGCTCTCCAAAGTCTTCTAGCACAAAACGGAGCCAAATAGCTTGAGTAGTAGCCTCAGCTGCACTGATATACTCAGCTTCAGCAGTAGACAGTGCAACACAGTTCTGTTTTACTGAGGCCCAAGAAAATACTCCACTTCCAAAACTAAAAGCATACCCTGATGTGCTCTTGCAATCACCAACTGATCCTCCCCAATCACTGTCACAGTAACCAACTAGAATTGATCTTTTGCCTTTCACATATTCAAGACCATAGTCCAGAGTTCCTTTGATGTATCTCAAAACTCTTTTAGCTGTTCCATAGTGTCTATTTGTAGGACAGTGCATGAATCTAGCTAGCAAGCTTGAGGCATACATAATGTCTGGTCTTGTAGCAGTTAAGTACAATAAGCTACCAACAATGCTTCTGTATTGTTCTTCATTTGCAGCTCCACTCCCATCATCCTTAGCTAGTTTCTCAGTGGCAACAAGAGGTGTTGTCACAGATTTGCACTCAGTCAAACCAAACTTGCTCAACAAGGTGCTAGCATATTTCTTTTGATGTAGAAATATACTAGACACAGTCTGCACAACTCCCATGCCGAGGAAATGGTGAAGTAAACCCAAATCAGTCATCTCATACTTAGCCATCATGTCTTCTTTGAATTCAGCCAACAATGCTTGACTGCTCCCTGTGTACACTATGTCATCTACATAGATAGACACAATTAGAATCTCCTTATCTCCCCTCACTTTGGTATACAAAGTTGCTTCACTTAAGCTTTTCACAAAACCACAGTGAGTGAAGTAGCTGTCTATCTCTCCATACCAAGCCCTTGGGGCTTGCTTCAGACCATAAAGAGCTTTATGCAGACGATAAACCTTGTCTTCTTTGCCTTTAATTACAAAACCTTCAGGCTGACTGACATAAACTTCCTCTTGCAGCACACCATTAAGGAAAGCAGACTTCACATCAAGCTGGAACAATTTCCAATCCTTTTGAGCAGCTAGAGCAACAAGAGTTCTAATGGTGTCCAATCTGGCTACAGGTGCATAAGTCTCATTATAATCCAGTCCAGGCTTCTGAGCATACCCCTTAGCCACTAATCTTGCTTTATTCTTTTGCACAGAGCCATCCAAATTCAGCTTTGTCTTGTACACCCACTTAACTCCAATCACTGGTTTTTCAGTTGGTCTATTTACCAATTCCCATGTTTCATTTTTTTCAATCATCTGCAGTTCATCTTCCATAGCCTTAAGCCAAGATTCATCCTGAGCAGATGCAATTCATCTATGCAATCTCAGCCATTCACTATCTAACCAATCAAGCTATGACACTTGGACTAAGTATAAAGAAATACAACTAAGCTGAAAACAAAACTCCTAATCCTGAAATCAACTTAAGCACTTATAATTCAACATCATCAAACCATCTTCTCCAACCCCTAAACATCTTCGACGCCATCAGTTTTCCTTTCTTGATCAAATAAATCCCCCAATTTATACCTCCTTGGTCCTCTTCTATGAATTCAATGGCAAGATCCCGCCCACCATTACCGAAATATCAAAGCACCTTAAGAAGTCCTTATCCGAGATCTTGACCCTTTTCTACCCACTAGCCGGCCGACTCAGAGTCGAGAACCATTTTGTAGACTGCAATGACCAGGGAATACCCTACCTTGAAGGTCTAGTAAAACCCAACTGCCAGCTTTGTGATTTTCTCAATGATCCGGTCCCTGATGACCTCCAGAAATTTGTCCCCTTTGAGCCAGATGATCATAATGAATTTCCCCTAGGTGTCCAGCTCAACATGTTCGAATGTGGAGGCTTCGCCATTGGTCTAAGCGTTTCTCACAAGCTCGCAGATGGACTATCTATGCTCATGCTCACCAAAACTTGGGCTGCCATTTCCCGCGGAGAATATGATAATCTTGAAGCCAAAATAGAGCATCCGCAATTTGTTTCAGCCACACTCTTCCCACCCAAGGAGATGACCAGGTACTACTCACACGCCGGTATCACCACGAACAAAGTAACAAAGAGGTTCGTGTTTGATGCCTCTGCGATAGAGGATCTCAGAGTAAAATATACAGGCTTGGAAAACAATGAGAAACGCCCGTCACGTGTTGAGACCTTATCGGCTTTCATATGGAGGCGATTTGTGGAAGCTACCAAGGGTGATCCTGATCAAAATATTGATGATAAGAATAAGTTGCATATGGTGATCCAGACTGTGAACCTGCGCCCCAGGATTGATCCACCATTGCCGCAAAATTCATTTGGAAATATTTGTCATTTTTTCATGATTAGTAGTAGTGGGGATGATGATTATGATGATGAAGATGAAGAATCTTGTCATGGCATGGTGAGGCGGGTACGAGAAGAAATAAGTAAGATTGACAAGGACTACGTGAAAAGGCTACAACAGGGTGATGAGCACTTCAAATTCATGAACCGACTTGCTCAAAGTTCTATTAGATCTGGAGGGAAGGTAGTTACGTCTTACTTCAGTAGTTTGTGCAGATTTCCCCTCTATGATATGGATTTTGGTTGGGGGAGACCGGCATGGGTGGGCATACAGCCACTACCCTTGAACAACCTAATAGTTTTCGTCGACACCAAAGAGACTGGCGGAATAGAGGCATACGTTACCCTGGCGGATCAGCATGTCATGGCTAAATTCGAAAGTGACTCATTCCTTCAAAGACGGGTGCACAAGGGCCGGTTTGATACTGCCGTTTCAAGTTTAGCGTGTCAACCAGCCCAATTTAACCAGGTTGCGAAATTTCACTCCCAAGATCAGTCGAGTGTAATTAAGAAACCAATTCAAATCAAACCATTGAAACTCGGATCGAGGCTATAATATGGCTTAAATTTAAATTTGGGCCTATCTAACCTTGTAATTGCGTTTCATATCAACAAAAAACATATCCAAAATGTTAATGTGTGTTCATGTGAGTCTGTTGTGTGTGCAACCATGTGCCTGTGACAGACCAAACATGTCGTCTGTGGTTCTAATGTTCGGAAAGGGATCACAAAATGTGTTTGGCAGGGTCATGTTGACTGCTTGGAAACAATCAGTTAATATTTTGGGAGTTTCACTAAAACACCCAAAATGGAGATTGAAATTATAAAAAAACCCAACACCCAAAACACTTTATAAACACACCCAAAACTCATCATTACACACACTCAAAACTCATTTATAAACACACCCAAAGAGTTGACTTTGGAGTTGATTTTGGGTGTGTTTCTATGTTTAAATAGTGCTTGGGTTTTTTTTATACATACATGTTTAGGATTGAGTTTATTTATAAATTTGTATAATATTTTTCATAGTCTGCAAGAAAGATATATTTGAGTTTATAAATTGGTCTAGCAACAAAGAAGGATTTGTTGCTGTTCCCACTTGACATATTGAATACTTTCGAATTGTGATGTGAGAGATGAAAACTTTTAAATCTTTTGACATATATATTTCCCACGCAACACATAGGCTATTTATTTTATTTCAATTCTCACAGATGGTGTACTTATTTAATTCTTCATCATTACCCAATATTTTAATGGTTTGCAGGTCAGCTCTGATTATTGAAGTTATTAATCATTCACCAGCCTCATGCTAATAAACAAATACTGCTTTTTTTTTTTTTTTTTAATCAGTAATCCCATGATGGCGCAATAATTAAATCATCCAGTTGTAACTTGTAATTTTGATAGACATTGTTAACTCATTTTCTCATAACTTAAGGGCCTGTTTGGTATCATTTTCATGGGCCATTTTCTGTTTTTCACGTGAAAATGTATTGTGGGTTATTTTGACAAACAAGCTGAAATTTTTCTTTCTGAGAATGAATCCAAAAGTATGAACAAATATTGAAAATGCCAAAAAGTCGTTTTTGTTTTCAGTCTCCCGATCAAAGACTCTTCTTCGTCAAATGAGCAACAATCCAATCAAATTATATCCAAAACAGTCAAATCTCCTCCTTCCAACCATAATCAGCCCCAAAATTTCATGAAAATAAACCCATAATTACACAAATTTGCAACTGAGCAAAAAAAGAAAAAAAAAAAAAAAAAAAAATAGAGAGGAAGAAGAAGAACCACCACATACCCAGCTCAACCACCATCACCGCCCAATCGAACTACCACAACCACTAATTGGTGGAACCGGACAGAGAGAGAGAGAGAGAGAGAGAGAGAGTGGGGAAAAGATTTTAGTTATTCCAAATGCCAAAAGCAGTGCAAATTTGCCAAAACTAGACTGCTTGTGATTCTTACATAATTATTTTGTGGCGACTCAAGAGATCTCTTGCATGAAATCAAGGGAGGTGTCGCAGGTTGCTTGATTGGCAATGGTTTCTCTGTGCCAAAAAAGATTTTTCTTTCACTTTCCAAAAGAAAAAGAATAATGTGTTCACGAGTTCATAAAGAAGATGCATCCTAGCACCCGTATAGTGTGTGTAAATTTAGTATATTATCACCCGTCTCAATAAGAAATGTTCTAAAAAAAAAAAGAAAAAAAAAAAAAAAGATGCGTGTATCGAGGGTCAACTATATATGAATAATGTGCAACGTAATGTTATCATTTGCAGTTTATTAATCTTCTTCGTAGTTTTTTTATTTTTTATTCTCTCAAGTGGGTACAACAGTAGCTCAAGACGACGCGATCACGTCTCAAATGGGTAGATGCTCATAAAAAAATGCATGTGTATGGCACAAGTTGACTTGAACATTGCAGGCTTAGCTGGGAAACAATGACTTGAGATTATTCATATTCTACAAGTTAGGCACGATCTTGAATTATAAATTTGCCTGCATTTGCAAAGGATTTGGGGTTTGTTGAGTTGTAGAAGAAATTTAAGGGGCCATATATAAGGCTTTAATTTGCCATTTATATTGTGCATGGCTCTGTCTACACCTCCTACACAGTTATCGTACGTGCTTACCCAATTGAGATTGAAACACCAGCAGAAATGTTTTGAAATTGTGAATAACGTGAGAGATTATGTCAATCCATTTATTTTCTTGAATTCCTTAGTTAATTACGGATTACATAAAGTCAGGTTTAATCAGGTTTAATGAACACAAACAAAAGTACCACGACTTTTAAAATACAAGCAAACTGGAATTTTATGAAGAAAATTAATAAGCAAGTACATTTAACATCCATAAGCAAGCAAGTACTGAAAATGATTAGGAAAAATCAACAAAAATATATAAAGATTAGAAGATCTGGATCACAATATATATAAAGATTATATTTTTCCCACGCAACGCATGGGCTCTATTTAAAATTCTCAAAGTGCAATTCTATACTATTAGGCAATCCCATTTACACATATGTATATTTTTGTGTACGTGTCCCATGTGTAATGATTTAATCCTTAATTGCTGCCAATAATATTACTAATCGTTTCAACTCTTTGTGATAATTAAACTAATACTTATCTTCTTTTTTTTCCAAATTGTTTTCCCTGATTTTTGTTTACGATAAGAGTAGTTTAAAGCATTATCCATTACTATTAGGCCATTACCCGAGTCTCTATTGTCCCTTTTTGATTTTTTACTTTTTCAGAATTATTACCAGTATAAAGAATTTAGTATTTTCCCGTTTAATATTCATATTATACACGTATGTACGTATTTTTTTAATAATACTTCCGTTTTTCGTACATGTCTTAAAGAATAGGTAAAATACACATTTTTTAAAAAAAGCAAACATACAATACACGTATATACGTATTTTTCATATTTAATACACGTATTTTTTCATAAAATTTTCAATAATACACACAAAATTCACTTATTATTCACATAATTTTCACATATTATTGAATATATATATAATATATAATTAAATAATTAAATATATTATATTAAAATATTATGTAGTGGCCAAACTTCTCAATTGTAACTTGCCAAAATATTGCTGAATAAAAACACGTACCTATTTTATTTGTATTTTTTCCGTTCCGTATTTTACTAACTATAAAATAATTTGGGTGGCCAAGATTATTTCTTACTTGTTGTAAGAAAAATGCAAGATGGTGATTTTCCAATCTCTTTGCCAACAAGAACAACAATTTTAAATAAAGTTTTATGCGTATAGTAGTAAGAGAGGTGGTATCTTCACTTAAAGTATTGTTTGAAAAGTGAAGCAATTACCAAGACCACTACAACTCAGCATACAATTCTTTATTAAGACAAACAATGTGTGCAATAACATTATTTAGTAGCATTCGAGAGAAGGAGGTAGATCAAAAACAAACATTCACCTGCAAAAAAATAAAAAAAATATTGAACTTTCAAATTGATTTTCTCTAAAATTTCTCTCTTTTCAATATCTATTTTTGATATGTTGAAACTAGCAAATCAATAACTATAAATCGAAGTAGGCCAAAAATTTTCAAAATTGCTAGGGCACACTTAAAAAAAAAAAAAAAGTATAGCCGCATTGCTATACTTAAAGAGTATAGCTGCGCGGCTATACTGGGGTTTTTTATTTTTTTATTTTAAATTAATAGGCTATACTCGTAATTATTAAAAAAAGAAAAAAGAAAAAAAAAAGGGCCGCCAAGGCGAGTCCTTCCTTTTTTTTTGGGTAATAAATAGTATAGCCGCGCGGCTCTACTTAGGTTTTTTTAAAAAAATGATAACCACACTGCTGTACTATTTTAATATATACTTGGATCTTTCTCTTTAGAAGACAAGAGGATGGCATAGAGGCTTGGCTGACTCTTTTTATTGGGCAAGCCCAGCCCCATTTAAATTTGTATATATTTTTGGATCCATCTGAATATTTAATTAATAATCATTAGCCAATATTTAAATTGTTTTCAGTAGTGTTCAAATTGTTTGCACTAGTGGGGATAAGATCCTTAAACAAAGACTTCTCTGTCAGTCTATTGCCCGTATAAATTCAAGGGAGACTTTGGAAAAACCCAAAGGAGAGAGAAATTTGGTAAAAGAAGCCAAAATGGACAAATTTGCCCTTATTTAGTTTTGAATTTCCTAAGAAATCATTTACACTTGCATGTCTTTGATTTGAAAGTTGAGAGGTTTTTCTGTCTTTTTAAAAAAAGCTTTGGCTTTTTTCAAAAGTGAAATTTTTTTTATGGCTAAAACCTAAATTTACTTAAATTCAACCACACAGAAGTGAGAACAAAAATATATTAGAGAGATAAATGAACGTTGAAGTGGAAGTGATCTCCGAAAAGATTATCAAACCATCTTCTCCAATCCCATACCATCTTCGCAATTACCACTTTTCCTTTCTTGATCAAACACATCATCCAGTGTACGCCTCTTTGGTCCTCTTCTATGAATTCAATGGCGAGACACACAACCCACCATTAGGGAAATATCCAATCACCTTAAGAAGTCCTTAGCCGAGGTATTAACCCTTTACTATCCACTTGCCGTACGGATCAGATTCGACAACCATTTTGTAGACTGCAACGACGAGGGTGTGCCTTACCTTGAAGCTCAAGTAACCAATTGCTGGGTTCGCAATGTTCTGGAGAATCCAATCCCTGGTGAACTTAATAAACTCGTCCCATTTCAACTAGATGATGGTATTGCTGTCGATGAAATTGCCCTCGGCGTCTAGCTCAGTATGTTTGAATGTGGAGGCTTCGCTATGTTAAGATTTTAGAGGGACGGACTCTTGGCCCACCACTAGCAACATCGATATTGTCCCCAACTTAACCGCCTGTTTAGCAGGTGAGGTTTTATACAAAAGGCCTCGATATTATTAGGAGTGGAACCATTTATTATATAAGACTTTCTATTTGTTAAGTTTCCTATGTGGGACTCATGTATTTTTCATGTGAAACCTCATATTTCATATTTCATAAAATTGATATTTATAATTATTAATTTTCAAAACTATATATATATATATATATTAGTTAGTTGAATGGTAAGCTGTGTGAATCCAGCTGTAGCCTATCAAACCTCCTTGTTATGATTTTAACTATAGTAATTCCTTTAATATTTAATCTACACACAAAAGCTTTTAGAATTATATTTGTGCCTACTAAGCTTTGACGTGTTGCATTCTGAAGTCTTCAAAAACCAATTGAAGATGAGGTGTTATGTTTTGAGATGAGGTGTAAGAATTATAGATGTTCTTACATATGAATGTATTTGGC